CCAAGCAGAGCAGCTCACTGTGAAAGGTCACATCTGATTGTACAAACTGTGAAGATACACACCCCCAGTCCTACCTGCCCTTGGCTGAAAAGAGCCTAGGAGCTCAAGGTCCTGTCAAGGTCACACTCTCTTCCTGGGGACTGGCCTGCATCCAGTGACTCACTGATGCAGGGATAAAAAAGCCAGCTTCCTCACCTCAACTTGGGGTCCTGTGAAGGGTCGTCCCAGTTTCAGAACTCCCCAGCAGTGCTGGTTGAGATCACACCGTGGCCCTACTGCTCGCTGTCCCTGACCCATTTGCTTCCACCTCTCTTCAGTAAGCTCCCCGTACTTCATTCTGCATTTCAGAGTCGGCTTCCTGGGACCCCAGCTAGCCACTTCCTCATACATCCTGTATGACCTGTCTGAATACGGAGACTCCAAGACGATTGCAGCCGTCTGGAGCAGGGACCCCTGCCACCCATTACTTCTCATCCTCCTGGGCACAGATTTGCCTACACTAGGTACCAAACGGACAGGACACGGGCAGGATGAGACCTTCCCTTGGGCTGGGAGACAGACCCCACCCTGCAGAGAGCCTCTGAGGAGCCCTGGCTGAAGCAGGCGTCACCGACCTGAAGGCTCGAGCCACTCCAGACAGGTGCCATCTGTGTGTTCCCCGGGACTGAAGGAACCCATCTTTCCCCACATGCTGCTGAGCCATTTCTGTCACATAAAGCTGGGGAGCTATCAACCCCATGGCCTATGCTTTCCCTTTTTGTCTCTCTCTTTTTTTTTTAAAGATTTTATTTATTGATTTGACAGAGAGAGACCACAAGTAGAAAGAGAGGCAAGCAGAGAGAGAGAGGGAAGCAGGCTCCCTGCCGAGCAGAGAGCCCGATGCGGGACTCGATCCTAGGACCCTGAGATCATGACCTAAGCCGAAGGCAGCGGCTTAACCCACTGAGCCACCCAGGCGCCCCCTCTTTTTGTCTCTTTTAAGGAGCAGAGCTGTTCACAGCCACCCAGTTCCAGCCTTGCCTGGTGTAAAGGGAGGATGTTTCCTTCATAGCTTCTTTTTTTTTTTTTTTAAGATTTTATTTATTTATTTGATAGACGGAGATCACAAGTAGGCAGAGAAACAGGCAGAGAAACAGGAGGAAGCAGGCTCCCTGCTGAGCAGAGAGCCCGATGCGGGGCTCGATCCCAGTACTCTGGGATCATGACCTGAGCCGAAGGCAGAAGCTTTAACGCACTGAGCCACCCAGGCGCCCCGTCCTTCATAGCTTCTATGAAAAGCTACAGTCGAGCAGAGTGGCTGTCTGCTCAGCAGATCAACACGATTAGTACCAGGTAAGAACGCCGTGTGCAGACCCTGTCCAGCAGGGTTTCAAGCAGCAAGGGAAATGCTCTGAGTCTGGACTGTCTGTTCCCGTTGCCCTGGAAATGTGGCTAGCGTCACTGAAGAGATAGATGTTTCCTTTTATTTACTTTTAATGAATTTCAACTTAAATAGTCATCTGTGGCCACAGCATTGAACAGCACAGGTGTAGAACCAAAGCTTGCAATATGGAAACTTCACATTGCTTTCTCCTAACACTAAGGTCTTTTGCGGGTGCCTTCCTCTCAGTTTATGGGAACACACAGCCTTGGAGACCCTGCATTCCTGCATTCTGTAAAATGCTAAATCAGATTCTCCTAATGGTTTTCCAGACCTTCCTCTTCACATTTCTCCAGCGGGAGACATGCCCGTATAGGTAGCTGTTGATTTTCTTCTCGAAGCCCATTCATCTTTCGGGACAAAATAGCCCTCGGCCCTATCCCCAATTCTTCTACTACCAACCCATCTTGTAGTGGCACACTATAGCCTTTCAGACAGTTCTGAAAAATTAAAGTAAATCACACCTGCAGAGTTCCAGACTATCCGACTTATCTTAAAATAAATGCCCCGTTTGCCCATGATATCCCCATTCACAGAGCACGGTGCTGTGTCTTTGGTTGGGTCTTTTTGTTTGCTGAGTTTGGGGATGTGGCTTTTGTCATACATCTCCCTTCCTTGGGGAACAGAGTGGGATGCATCAGCTCCTCTGGGTCCCTTGGGAGTCCGTTTAGGCACAGGAAGCATCTGCAATTCTCCACACAGCATTTCGAATATGAGGCGCATTTTTGCCAACAGTGGCCTAGTTCTCATTCTTGAGGTTCTCAGGTAAGAGCCACACTGGATTGGACCCAGCATAGGTGACCCCAGGCTTTCCACGAGTAGGGCACTGTCTGATCGATCACACATGCCAGGGCCTCCTGTGGGAATGGGAACCCCCCTTACATCCTCTTCAGTAGAGAGCTGACAAGACTCTCTGTCATTTGCCAGGCTCCTCAACTCAGTTGGAAACAGAATGGTGCAGGAGTGAATTAATGCCTTCCGGAGCCAGCTGCCAAGGGTTCAAATCCCATCTCTGTCACTTGCCACCAGTGGGGCTTTGGGCAAGTCACCCCTCTGTCAGATGGGGTTTTCAGTAGCCCAGCTCCCCTGGGATCCACGGAAGTATAAAGCAAGTTGGTTGCCTAAAACATTTATTTACAGTAGTACTTGCTGCAAAGTAAGTGCTATGTGAGTATCAGCTAATTTTATTACCATAAGCAGATCTTTCTTCATTTATTTATTTGACAAATTTCTGGCAATTGTTATTCTCTTTGGAAATCACTGAGAAGGCACTCTTTAAAGCCTTCTTTTGTTCCTTTGTTCCTTTCCCTGGATCTTACATTCCGACCTTCTCTGTTGGCCTCCCTTGCATTCCCCAACTTGCCTCCAGTTAGCCCACGGAAGGATCTTCCCATCTCCCAGAATCTTGCATCTTTGGCATCTAGGTGCACACTTTCCAGCATTTCCAAAAATATGGTTTTAACCATTTTAGACTTCTAAATGTCTACCGTCATTCTCTCATTCTAAAATAGAATAGATAATAATATTTTTTTCCTACTTCAGTCCTGTGAAACCTCACTTTTACTCCTGTCTTTTCCTCGCCCACTCTCAGACATCCCTTCGCGGTGAGCTGGTGTTCTGCGCTCCACGGCTGAGGAGCTGGTAGTTTCCAGGGTTCCAGTCTGGTGCCCTAGAGCAGGCAGGGCCAGAGGGAGAACTGGGAAGGTAGAAACATTACAAAGACAAATGCATTTTATTGATAAGGCAACAGCATTATACAGAGCTGAGGCAGAGACCCCATTGGGCCACATTGGAAGGGGGGTCTGATTCACATTGAGACACAGGCTGAGGTGTCCCTCCCCCTCCTGATGGGTCAGCAGGGTGACAACTCAGGGAAGGAACGCAGGGGTCCAGGATCTAGATTTGCTGTCGAAAATCCAGACCCTCTTCTAGAGGACTAGGGCCATCTTTGGGGGAGGGGGGGAAATGGGGTCTGAGCTCAAGTATGGTGTAGCCAATAGAGCACTGGGCAGGGAGTCCCCAGACCAGGCCCATCCCTGGAGCCCTTTCTTTCCTTTTTTTTTTTTTTTTTTTTAAGATTTTATTTACTTATTTGACAGAGAGAGATCACAAGTAGGCAGAGAGGCAGGCAGAGAGAGAGGGGGAAGCAGGCTCCCGGCTGAGCAGAGAGCCCGATCTCAGGGCTCGATCCCAGGACCCTGAGATCATGACCTGAGCCAAAGGCAGAGGCTTAACCCACTGAGCCACCCAGGCGCCCCCCTGGAGCTCTTTCTAACTAGGTGTCTGAGCTTGGGGACCACACCCTCCTCCAAGAGTCAGGTTTTCTTTAGCAAGGGAGGTGAACTAGTGCAGCAATTTTTCAGCCTTTTGCCCACCAACTAGCATGCCAGACCAATGTCTTCTGCAGCCAAAATCCAACAAGGGTCTCTGCCTCATTTGTGAAATAACAGCGAGAACAATCACAACAGCTGATGTATAGAATTTGTTTACAATGTAAGTTTTCCCCCCATAAATCTCTCTTCATCCGTCATAGGAAAGGACTCCCTGCTACATTGGAATGTGGTGCAAGATGGAATCCGATTCTGAAAACAACTCCTGGCTAATAAATATCGGCCTCAGCCACATTGGGGGCCCTGGGCCGTGAGAAACGTGGCTGTCAGAGGTTTCTCCACCAGAAGGAGCCCGGGCCCGGTGGACACAGACAGTGCTCCCCGTGGAAGTCTCCCTGCTCCCTGGGGGCTTTCTGGGAACAGTGTGCGAGGGTAGAGGCTGACAGGAACTCCTCCCCAGAGGCACTGAATGTAACCGCATTCCCCACACTCAAGCAACAATCTGAGGGACCCTCTCCGACTCCTGAGGGGGCCCTTCCGCAGCAGTCCCACACACCTACATCTCACTCACCCAGGGACCCCACCCCAGAGGAAACAGAGTGAGTGTTCCCACCTCCCTGGTTGGGTCAGCTATAGAAGGGAAAATAAATGGAGTTTCAAGGTCAGTAGCCCCCATCCCTTCTGGATTCGGGGTGCTGGAGTGAGAATAGGAAGGGCAACCTCACATGACCCCACCCTAGATGCTCCCTTGGCCTAGCCATCTGAGGCCAGACTGCTCTCCCACCACCCACAGTGAGGTGTTGGAGCACTAGCTCCTGGTCTCAGGGGGACTACACCTAGATGGGTGTCTCAGAACTACACCTAGATGGGGCCCCTGGGAGGGCATGGTCTGGCCTGTGGGGGTCTGAGGTTCTTCTCTTCCATCCCTCCTTGCCAGGTGGAAAAGAGCTGGCACCACGGGTAAGCAGAGTGGCACTGCTTCTCCAGACGGCGGGGGAGTTAGGAGAATATGCCCATCTCAGGATCACCCTCGACCATCCTAGGGTGCGGCCCCACCGGCACCCATGGCCACTGGTTCTCCTTCCTGAACGGGAGGTAAGGGACTGGCAGGGGGAGGATGAAGATGCTGCTGGACATTTCTTTGCAACCTGGGGGCAACTCACTCTTGCCACGTAGATTATTGGAAGGAGAGTCTCCACCAACCTCTTAGATCCAGTGCAAGGAGACAGGGACAGCCGTGGCCACCATCTACCACTGTTCTGTGAGGCTGGGTTTGCCTGTCCCCCAGTTCCTGGGCCCTGCTCTCGTCCCTCCTTGGGCCTCTCGGCAGGTGGGGTCTGGGCTAGTTGTCCCTGTCATGTGGAGAAGGCCCACCAGAAGCAACTTCTGGGAAGAATGTTACCATAGCAACGGGATGAAGTGGGCACTGACGTGTTAGGAGAGGGCCCTTTGGCCAGCAGAGGTGGGTGAGGGGGGAGTTGTGACCTTCGTCACCTTGTTTTTGGCCATCCTTGGCAGCGAGTATCCTAGACAGGCCAGGGCTGAGAAGCAAGGGGAGAAGGCTCCATCATGGCCCACTGCCCTGGGACAAAACAGTGCAGATGGGCAGCAGGATGGGACAGGGTTGGAGGGTAGGGGAGGGTTTGTGGCTAGTTACTCATCATGGGCAAGGCAGGGGGAAGGAGATCCCCACTTGGCTCTGAACATTCAGGCCTGGAATCGGGGGAGGTACAGGTAACTCTGTCCCTGAGGAATGGGTGGGTTTCTCCTGCCTCACTGTTCCCTCAGCATCCACCAGCAGCGATTTTGGATCCGTAGGGCCATTCCTGGGCAAGGCCCCACCCTTAACATCTGTCCCCTCCCCTACTTGAGTTTCTTTAACAAACAGCAACTCCTCACTGAGGTCTCACGGGACTGGGGGCAGCCTGCGGCTGGCAGGAAAAGGAGACTGGTGTTAGGTCGGACAGGAGACAGGCTGGGTTGGGTGGCAGGGGAGGTGGGAGAGGAGAGGCTGAGCTCCGGAGGGGGTGGGAAGGTGTGCCGGGCAGTAACACGCCCCAGGCCGGGGCACAAGGCCCCAGAGGAGCAGCCCCGCCCAGGAGCCCCAGCAGGCTACCCTAGTCAGGAGATCTCGTTGCCAAACACCTCCAGAACGAGGGGCGTGAGCTTCATGCTGCACTCGGGCTGGAAGGACAGGCAGCGGTACTGCTTGGAGTGCTCCTCATTGAGGCTACGCAGGTCGGCCAGCTTCTGGATCATCTTGGCGTAGAGCAGGTGGCTGCCTGGCGGTGGGTGGCGGCAGCGGATGTAGGTCTGCAGTGTGTTGGACAGGCGGTCCTGGATGGCCTCCACCAGGGCAGCATCCTGCACCCCGGGACGGTCTGTGAGCACGGGGAGGTGGGAGGAGAGGGCACAGGAGCTCTGAGCCAGGTCCCTTTGTACTCTATCTCCCCAGGACCCCTACCCCCAGACACTCAACCTCAACATCCTCCTAGGTCATCCCTTGTATGGCTGCTGACCTGGGACACCACAGTCCCCCTTAAAGCCTCTCAACCATTTCCCCTTGCATTTTGGATCAAGGGTCCCAGGTTGCATCAGGCCCTGTCTCCAGCTCAGCTCTCTCCCTCCATCTCTAGGCTCCATGTTTCCAGCAGTAACCTGATGTGCCGTGCCCTCTGGCCTCCAGGCTTCACATTGGTGTTCCCTCTGTCTGGAACTTAACTGACCCTTCAGGCAATAGCTTCCAAGATATTCCTCAAAAGGGCCATTCCCCATCACCCCTACCTCCATTCCCCAGACTGCATCAAGTTCTCTCCTCTTTTATACCCTACTGTAGTATCAGACACGTGTTTAGTTTTCAAACTTTCATCACATGAGAATGAGTCATTAAAGAGTAATTGTTTAATGTCTCCTCCTATGCTTCATGGAAGAGAATTCTGTGTCCTGTTTGCTGCGGAATCTCAATGCCCAGCACAGTGCCTGATACCTCGCAGGTGCTCAGTAAATCATGGCTGAGTGCAGGAAGGAAGGAATGAGTGAGTGCTGGCTGGGCAGGGGGTGGGGAGCCCATGTTCCTTCCATGGGTCCCCAGCCCATCCCTGATCAGAGGCCATTTGCTGGTTCCTTCAACATAGGTGGAGACAGCACTATCCCCCTTAGGCCTCTTCACCAGTACCACAATCATCCACCAGTACCACAAAACATACCAGGACCCCAATAACCTCCTTCCCAGCCTCTCTCTCTCTCTCTCCCCACCCCAATAGACAGAAAGGCTCAGGGTCACAGCACAGCCTGTAAGGTAAGCTTTCGAGGCAGAAGCCTGTATAAGCCCCAAGTTTTTCTACCCTATCTCACAGGTGATCTCAAGTATCAGCAAAGTTCAGTCCAGTTCAAACAAGAGTAGAACCTGAGTACTGGGAACATCCCGACCTGTCTAGGGCCTGAGAAACCCCACTCAGCTGCTTCCTCAGAGTCCCACCTCTGTAACCCCTATGGTCTCAGGGCCAAAGGCAGGGAAGGACCTCTCGGCATACACATACCACACGGGCTGCGCAAACAAAGCCCAGTGGGTGTGTCCTGTCTCTCCTTTTGCTCCCTCCTCCCTCCAGCCTGCCCAGCTGGCCCTCAGCCTTGCTGGACCCCTTCCCCTGTCCCTGCGTTCTCCACTGTGAGGCCCCATACCTGGGGAGACAATGCAGATGGCCATGAGCAGGACATGCTCCTCCTCGTGCAAGTTCAGCTTCTTCAGCCCTACCTGGAACTTGATGAGGGGCTCAATCAGCTCCAGGCTGTGTCCGGCTGTGAGAGAGATGGCCAGATGCTGCGGGTGGAACCGGGGAGCCGCCAACCCAAACCACCACGGCCCACCCCCGACCCTGACGGGGCCCGCTTCTCACCCTTCTCTCCCTGTTGCCCTCTCCGATGCGCCTGACCGGGGCCCGTGACCCCAGGAAGGGGGGAACCAGAGTCTGGGAGCTGGAGAGGGAGGAGGTGGGGCCCGAAGGTACCTTTGGTCACATCGCTGATGCGGTACTTGTAGTCGGGGCTGCCACAGGTCCAGGACATGTCGTCCATGATGAAGGACTGGTTGGAGCGCAGCATGATGACCTCGATGGCACTTGACTTCAGCAGCACGATCTGGTCGTCAGAAGTGAGATCTCTGCCGGGGAGGGCAGGGAGGAGTCAGGTTACTGGTCAAGAATTTCCGATCAGGCAAATCAGCGCGCTCTTCCAGGCACTGCCAGGTCACCAGTGTGTGCCCTGGGTCCTTCACTGAAGGGCTGGGGTTCTGACCGGAAGGGAAAAAAAAACTGTTTCCCTGAGGAAGAAAATGTCAGGCTGTGATTGTGTACCAAGATTGGAAGAAAAGGAGCTCAGTTACTAAGGCAGGGATAACTCAGGGACTCACCAGTGTCCCCAGGCCCACGCAGCCAGGGCTATTAGGGGCAGGAAGAAGAGCCTGGGGAAACGCTCAGGGTTACAGAGGGAACATGGAGGTCAGGGAGAGGTATGGCCCCAGTCATCTTCAATACCTCCCATGCCTTCTTGTTCTTCTCTCCTGTCCTCTGGTCCTTCCCAGAAGTAACCCTCGGCCAACTCTGTCTCCGGGACATCTCTTGAGCCCTTGACCTCCTTCCCACTACTATCAGGACTATGCTGGTTAGAGCTCTGTCATCTTTCTCAGTTGCCTCTGATTAGAACTCTGGAACCAAGTCTCTTTCAGATCTCTCCTCCACGATGCTTAGAGCTGCTTTAGCAAGATATCGCCCATGCTCGGAAACCCTCACGGACTCTCAACCCCATGAGGGTCAAGCCCATACTCCATCCCTTGGCTCCAACCTGTCCTTCCAGCCCTCTTCCCTTCGCAAACTCCACCCACCCTCCATTCTAGAAACTTCACACTACTCCACGTTCAATGTCAGGCGTTCTTACGCCTGCCCCAGCCAAGAACGCCTTGCTTCTGCTGCATCTCATCTTCCTGACTCTGAACCCGGTGAGGTCTCCCTCGGAGCCCCCGACCCCCCAGTTACTTTTAGTAGGATTAGAACCATTTCTTCATGGCCTGCCGCTTGCACATCTTCTTTACCCTTCCCCCTTCAGCTCCGCCCCTTACACGCTTGTCTGTGGCTCTGAACTGCCAGTAGGCAAGCTACTTGAGGGCCGGCATTCATTCCCAACTACCTCAGCGTTGCCCGCACAATGACTACGGAGCCCTGAGCACAACAAGGTCAATAAATCTGTGCTGATGAGAAGGAGCCAATGACTGGTTCCACTATTCTGAGTCACGAGCTGGGCTTGCCCGAACAATGACAGGGAAAAAGCAGCACCCACGGATCAACTTGCTTCCAGTTTTCCCTCCTTTTCTCTTCCTGACTGTACATTTCCACCTGGAAATTCCACCTGGAGAGGGCTGCCATCCTCTCCGGGGCTGCACTTGGGTGAGAGGTGAGAAACAGGTGTTGGTGGATGAGAATTCTGTATCCACGGGTGATGGATGAGGGTTAGGATGGCTGCAAAGGGTCTGCACTGAAAACAGTCTCCAAGTGCTGGAGTTGGAAGCCCCTCCCCCTTAGAGGCTACGTGACCCCTTTCCTTCAGCACTCCTTGCAGACGCAGGATCCTTCCAGGGCCAGGGTACTTGAAGTCTCCGGAGATAGCCAGGAGGTTGTTAACTCCTGGGCTAATAGCTTCTTCTGTTGAGCTACACCCACTGCGTGTAGTTCTGTCCTCTCAAGGAACACAGAACCAGACTTCTCCATTAGCCATGGGGGGTCTTTTAACCATTTAAAGAAAGTTACCACGCACCCCTGTGTCTTCTCCAAGACAGCCCCAAAGACACAGTGCCTAGACATCTCACCATCCTTGTCACTTTTCTCTTGATGGTCATGTACATTTTAAAAATAAAATCTAGGGGCACCTGGGTGGCTCAGTCATTAAGTGTCTGCTTTCGGCCTAGGTCATGATCCCGTGGTCCTGGGATGGAGCCCCGCATTGGGCTCCCTGCTCCGCGGGAAGCCTGCTTCTCCCTCTCCTACTCCCTCTGCTCGTGTTCCCTCTCTTGCTGTGTCTCTGCCAAATAAAAATAAAAAACTAATGCCTCATTTTGGTTTTAACTCATGATACAATAAAAGATGCTCATTATGAAATCTTCACAAAATATGGAAAAAATATAAAAGCAAATAAAAATTGTTCATAACCACAATGACCATTTTGGTGTATTTCCTTCCTATCTTTTTTTATTTATTTTTATTTTTTAAAGATTTTTTTTTTTTAATTTATTTGACAGACAGATCACAAGTAGGCAGAGAGGCAGGCAGAGAGAGAGAGGAGGAGGAGGCAGGCTCCCTGCCGAGCAGAGAGCCCGAATGCGGGACTCGATCCCAGGACCCCGGGATCCTGACCTGAGCCGAAGGCAGAGGCTTTAACCACTGAGCCACCCAGGCGCCCCTTCCTATCTTTTTTTAAACGCAAATCTCTCTCTTTCTCTTTTTTATTTATTTGTGAGAGAGAGAATGAGAAAGAGAGCGTGCACCTGTGCACACAAGTGCGTGAGTTGGCAGACAGGCAGAAGAAGAGAATCCTCAAGCAGACCCCCTGCTGAGTGGAGGCATCTTGGGGCTGGATCTCAGGACCGACGAGATCCTGACCTGAGCAGAAACCGAGTCAGATGCCCAAACAACTGAGCCACCCAGGTGCCCCGCAAATCCCTCTTTTTAAAACATACTTGAGTTCCTGGTAATAGTGTTCTGCTTCCTACGTCATGAACATTTCTTCAGCCCAGTCCATAGCGAGTTGCATAAAATTACATCTTATCAACATACTGCAAAGTTATTTAATCAGTCTCCCATCCACCTATTTTTTGGACATTTTGGTTGCTTCTAACTTGTGCCATGGTAAGTAATTCTGCGAGGCATTTCTTTGTATGTTTCGTTCAATGGCCCTTTTGAAATGGATGGCCAGAAGTGAACAAAGCTTGCGGGTGAGATTCCAGGGGCACCTTGCCTATTGTGATCCCGGCACATGGCTTCTATGAAAGCAAACCTAGAACGACATCAGATGATAGCCAGAAACCCAGGGACTTTCTAAGTGCAAGTCACAGCCAGAAGAGGGGATGGTGGCCGGTGTGGGGGGGACAGGCAGAAATGAAGGAGAAATCCTTCCTGCTAAGAGAGCTCCTTCCTGCTGACAGGCGCCAGTTCTGGCTCTGTGCCTCCTCTCCGGACCTGTGTCATATTTATAGTCCCTGACCAGTTTTCACACTGGTGGCCAGCTGCTTCTGGTCAGTGAGGTGCTCTGGAGATGTGTGTCTGTCTGTCTGGTCGTCCCCACCCCCAGGTAGAGCGGGTCCCTCCTCGCCTGCTTCCCACAGTCCCTCCGGCAGGCCTCTCTTGGTTCTTATCTCTTCACCGCAGTTGTCTCAATGTCCATCTCTTCCATCAGACCCTGAGCCCTGGAGGTCAGGAACTGCTTCTGGTCAACTGGTATCCTTCACAGTTTAGGGAAGAAAGCTGTCTGTTACACAGACGACCAAGTGAAGACAGAAGAGGACGTGGGAGGAGGGCCGCACTATGGCCTTAGGCCTTTCACCCGGGAAGGAGCAGGTGAATAGAAACGGCAGTGGGGTCAAAGGTCTTTCACCCAGAGGGCTGGGCTCCAGCTCGTTTGGCCTGGTCCCTCTTAACGCCTCTCTCGGCAGTGAAACCAGGGGGTCCTTTTTTCTTGGTCCGAGATGGCTCCTGGCCATTTGGATGCTGCACCTGATTTCACTTCCTCTAGGCCTGTCTTCCTTCCTTCCTTTCTCTCTTTCTTTCTTTAAGATTTTATTTATCTATTTGACAGAGAGAGAGAGAGAGAGAGAACAAGCAGGGGGAACTGCAGAGGCAGAGGGAGAAGCAGGCTCCCAGCCGAGCAGAGAGCCTGACATGGGACTCGATCCCGAGACCCTGGGACCATGACCTGAGCAGAAGGCAGATGCTCAACTGACAGAGCCCCCCAGGTGCCCCAACTCCAGGGCTTTCTTTTGAAGCACTGAGGGCGGGAGATTTGTGGGGTGCAGACAGGCTGAGGGAGGGCAGGTGGGAAGCAGGAGCGGGGCCAAGGCACACAGTGTGCAGTTCACACCCAGCACGGCCTATTCAGTTCCACCCCACTTTGGTCCCATGCCTGCACCCTCCATCACCCCCCCACCGGCATTCACCCACGCAGAAGTCTCATCCTGCCCTCCCCACACCCTCCACCCCTGCCTACAGGCAGCAGGATCAAAGCAACCAGGGACTCAGCCACTGTTCTATCACTTCTTGGAAAAATAGAATCCCTAAACACAGAAACCCCCAGAGCTGGAGGGCTATGGGGCTGGCCCCACCTGCGGCCCACCAGAGCCTGGTTCTGGCCTCGGTCCAGGCTCGGTGTCCCCTCTGTCCAATCACAGAGAGTATCCACATCCGCATCCCCCTGGCCCCAGAGCTCTTGGCCAGGCCTGCGCCATTTTCACTAGGATACCTTCCATTCTGAGATTTCTTAAGTCATGCCGAAGACAGAGAAGGCAGCCCAAGCACGTGCAGGATCGCCGTAACCCATCTGGGATCAGTAGCTGGATGGATTCAGTGTCTGCTCCTACGTACCTCATGTCGGCCATGACTCTGCGGCCAGACTAGGGAACTGGGGACAATAAGGCTGGATAGGGAATGAAGGGGCCAGACTACAACTCATCCTTGGAGAGAGACACCAAGGGGGCCAGACTACAACTCATCCTTGGAGAGAGACACCAAGGGCTGGGTCATGCTATTTGTGTCAGAGTATATGTGGCCAGGGTAAAGGATGGGGACCAAGGGCATGAGAGAAATATGAGGGTTTGGGTTACTTACTTCAGGGCGGGGGAGGGTGTGTTGCATCAAGGTCATCTGGTTAAATGAACGGCTTTTTTAAGGACAGTGTTTCCATGTGTGCCATCCCAACCACTCCTTAGAATCCACAAACCTGAGCATCTGGACAGAGCTCCCCACCAGGCTAGGAAAGATGAGCCCTGCACAGATGAGGACTGCTCTCAGGAACTAGGAGAGAAGCCAGCCTGCTGGTATCCCGTCAACACCTTGAAGTGTTTTTCTCTCTAGCTGTTTACACAAAACAAGACCTTGGAGCAGACTGAGTTTGCAAACACTAGCTTGAAGAGTGTGGGAGGGAGCTGGAACTTGCGCTAAGCAGAACGTGTTGTCAGTTCCAAGGAAAGGCTCTGGAGGGTAAGTCCCAGGCCCAGCATGACACTGAGCTCACAGGTGACACTCGGTAGCTCATTCCTGCTGGACGCCACACAGCAGCCCTTGTTCCTTCTGCCACCAAAATGTGCAACTCAATGGGGGTGTCCCAAAGGTGTCTCGATGCAGTAAGCGAGTTTGTGGTTTTTCTCTTCTTTCCAATTTTCACATGAATTCCCCGGGGAAGAGCACAGGAGGGCCCCGGGTATCTGAGTTGCTGAGAGGCAGAAAATCACACAGAGCTGGCTGTCTCAGGGCAGACACCAACTCGGAGGAACTGGGCTGTGCGCTCTGAATTATCGCCACCTAGCTGTCAATGCAGTCATGGAGACAGTGACAGACGGCTTCCTCGTGTGGCAGAGAGATTCACCACACAATAAATAGCTCATCACGTTAGTTCCCCCTCAGAGCTGGCCCATGTCCCATAATTTGGGGCTCCCAGAATTCCAGCACTGAACCTGAGCATCGGCATCTAGAAAGCACTCGTAGTCCCTTCTGCTGGCAACCGCAGGTATTGCTCCTTGAGCAGATGCCAACAGTTAGTGCCAGTGATTTCTTTCTCTTTCTCAATCACATTGTATATGTATTGTGTGGCAGTGCTTCAAATGATATAAATAATGTGTCAATATAGCTATAACTACCTCCCAACATTCTACTAAAAGCATCTACACTTTCTTCCTTTAAGAATCCTCAACACTGCACAGCTATTTAAATATAAGTATGTGAGCCATTATTACCAAAACAATCCAACAGTTGAGTGAAATTTGTATCAGTGACTCCCTAACAGAGGATCTTTACTCCAGCAGCACCCCTTACATCTATCTGTTTTGGCATGGGTCTCAGTATGGTTAGGAAAAGGCCTTTTCATGGAAATTTGGGTGAAGGAGGCCTAGGCTGTGTGTGCCAGGAAACCTGTCTCCCTGTGGGATCCCTAAATTATTTCACAAGTCGCCTTGTGCAACCCTTTCTCCTCTCTGTCACTGCATTTTGGTTTCAGATTTGGGTGTGGAGGGCTAATGGAGGTCTAATTTGAAGGGTTGACATGAGGATTAGACCCAAGCCAGTTGGAGTGCACATGGCAGTGAACTTGGAATTCTGGACCTTGGCTCTGACACATACTGGCTCCAGCACTAGCAAATGATCCTGGCTAGCCACTGAACCTCCCTGAGCTTCTCTTCTGTCATCCTGAAACTGCCAGGGATGGATGGCTCTCCAGCACTGGCCTGCTGGGTAATGCTGGATGGGCCATACTTCCCAGAGATTCTGATGTGGGAAGACTGGGATAGGGTCTGGGTCTCTATTTTGGGAAGCAGTGGACTAGCAATCTCCAGGCCTTCTTCTAGCTCAGTCTAGGAGTCTGACTCTTCTTACCTGAACCCTGGAATCATCTTGGCAAAGCCGATGACCTTTTGGATGCTGTAACTGACCAGGTCAGCCAGATGGGGCAGCATGGAGAGCTGGGACAGGTCAAGGGTCAGAGAAGAGTCATCTGAGTCTTCTTCCCTCAGACCCAGATTGGAGAAGCTGGTTGGCTCCATCACATCTGGGGAAGGATGAGGAGAGAGAAAGAGCTACTTCAGGATGCTTGTGCCAGATACCTTCCTGCTTGGCCCCGTGAGGACCTCCCCTGCCCTATCTGCAGGGCTAGCCAGAAATGCCATAGTGACCGCCTCTCTCCAAGGTCAATCTTCAGCCCAGGCTTTCCTCTAGGACTCCCCCTGGCTTTTCTTTCAAGCAGAGCAAGGCAGTAAAATCAAAGATCAGAGATATTCCAAGACATGAGATTTCCTCAAGCCATGATTTTACAGATCATGTGTGGTTTCTAATGACCTCAAGTTTGGAATCAATGAACTTATAGAAAACGAGGATTGGCCTCACTAGTGATCAAAGAACTACAGGGTAGAATATCTAGACTTTTCACCTATAAACTAGAAACAAATATGTTTAAATGTGGATGCCAATGTCAAGGAATTAGGCAACCCATGGGCCATGGGGTGTTAAAGGAAGCCTACATTTGTGCAAGTAATCTAGAAAGCTATTTGATAGTAGGGTCGGAAGCCTATGATTACGTATATTCTTTGATCAGTAATCCCACTTCCATAAATTCATTCTAAGGGGAAAAAAAATCCGGAATAAGTGCAAGTATTTAGTACAAGCATACTGTTAACTTAGTAAAAAGCTGGGACACAATCTAGATTAGATATGTTCTTGTACATTCATACTCCAGAATACCAATCAGCCTTTAAGCATATAATACAGAGGTATCCTGATGACATGAAAATATGATATGATGCACTATTAAGAGAAAAAAGCAAGTTCCCAGATTGTGTATGGCATAATTTTACTTGGAAATATACATATGCATTTAAAGAAAATCGGGGTGCCTGGGTGGCTCAGTGGGTTAAAGCCTCTGCCTTCGCCTCAGATCATGATCCCAGGTCCTGGGATCGAGTACTGCATCAGGTTCTCTGCTCAGCAGGGAGCCTGCTTCCCCACCAACCCTGCCTGCTTCTCTGCCTACTTGTGATCTCTGTCTGTCAAATAAAACAAACAAACAAACAAAAAAACCCAAAACACTTAAAAAAAAAAAAAAGATGGAAAAGAGACATATCACAGTGTTATCTTTGGGTAGTAGGTCTAAAGATTTTACATATATAAAATATATATTTGTTTTATATATATGTACATATATATAATTTAGCTGATATTTTCTGAATGCCTACAATAAACATGTATTACTTTTGCTTAATATTTTTATTTTATTTTATTTTTTAAAAGATTTTATTTATTTATTTGACAGACAGAGATCACAAGTAAGCAGATAGGCAGGCAGAGAGAGAGAAGAATGCAGGCTCCCGGCTGACCAGAGAGCCTGATGTGGGACTCGATCCCAGGACCCTGGGATCAGGACCTGAGCCAAAGGCAGAGGCTTAACCCACTGAGCCACCCAGGCACCCCAACTTTTGCTTAATATTTTTTAATTTAAAATGTTAACTAGTTTGAATCTTATTATTTAATTATTTATTTAGTAAATTAAGTAATCTCTAGGCCGAACATGGGGCTTGAATTCATGACCCTGAGATCAAGAACTGCATGCTGTGTCAACTGAGCCAGCCAACATATGCTGTACTGAACTTGACATTGGTGGGGCTGCACACCTCATATCAATTAACCTATGAGGGTATCAAAACTATTGACTAATGTGGAATTATTAAAGGCTGAATGTATAACATGAAGACTGATCCTCATCAATGGAAATAAATAGCCCACCAAGTGAAAAGAGCAGCAAAGTAGGGAGAGGAAATCAACACATGGGCAGAATCCGTCCAAGACGGGGGCTCAAAGGATCAGTAAATCTCAGCAACGTCCCTGACCACCTCCCTCCTGTCACTCCTGGGTGGGCAGATACCACGTCTGTCTCCACTGCCATTCCTGTCTAGCTGACACTGAGACCCCTCCCACCTCTCTGGGACCTGGGCCCAGATCCATCAATCAGTCTGGAAGTACCATATCTGAGGGTTCTAGCTCCCTAGAGGGAAGGGGTTTTCCCATCCCTGCCCTCCTGCAGGACCCACGCAGAAGGCAGCAGGGTAGAGTGAGAGGCAGAGGAATGAAGGACAGGGTAGGGAGAGGATGGAGCAGGAAGACGAAGAAGAAGGTGGAAAAGGACCATAAGAAGGAAAGCAAGGATGAGCTGGAGATGACGGGTCGTCTGGGGCTGTGGTGAACCCCCCAGAGCTTAGGGTGGGGGGAAAGTACAGCAATGGGACCCACATGCTCTCCCTTCACCTGAAATGTCACCTTCTAGGCTCTGATGGCTGCAGTTAATGACACTGTTTTATATATTTGGAAGTTGCTAAGAGAGTAGATCTTGAAAGCTCTCAGCACAACGAAAATAAAAACCTGACTGTGTGAGATGATGTTTAGTAGTTCTAGTTGTGGTAATCATTTTGCAATATATACATGTATCAAATTATTATGTTGCATACCTGAAACAAATACAATGTTCTATGTCAATTATATCTCAATAAAATGAAAAAAAAACAAAAAAAACAGAACCCCCCCCCATCCCCCGCAAAGGCCCAGGCTCAAAATACCAGTTAAAGGAACCAGGTTACCCACAGGGAGGAGGGCAGGAGCAGAAGCTTGGTGGGGAGCAGGGATTTTATAGACAGACCCTGCCTGGCCAGAGCCCAACATGGCCTCTTCCCCAGCATGGGCCCTTGGGCTAGTTAGCTCCCTTCTGTAAACAAAGGGGAGTATTCTGAGGACACTGTGCGGCGCACGGTATGAAAGCGCAACCCTCCCATCTATGGCCAAGGACAGGTGGGCCGTGGAAGCTCTGGGCTCTCCTTCCACTGCTGGGTTCACTGGGGGCATGCATCGACTCACCTAGAGAGGCTGTGTAGTTATCTGAGCAGGACGAAGATGAGTCCCCAGAGAGGCTGGGCGTTGGGACGGAGGAGGGCCTTGAGGAATGGCTCCCTCCACCCCCTTCCCCACGAACTGGAGGCTGGAAGGGAGAGATGGGCTCACTTTCCTCCCTTGTCCCCGATCTCTGACAGGAGGGGCTTCCAGGAAGGCCTGCGGGGGTTGGGGGGAGGCCTCCCCCATTCCGTAGCAGCATGCCCACCCCTGCCCCGGTTTCTCGCTGGCCGAGGCTCTCCTGTCCCCACTCCTGTGCCCCCACCCCAGCGGTGGCTCTTCACCCCGCAGCCCATCCTTCCCCAGGCAGCCCGCTCGTGGACATACCCGGAACTGGGAGAAGTCGGCATAGGTGGGGTCGTAGGTCTTGTGGTGGGCGTCCAGCAGGATGGCGATGATCTGCTGCTGCTCCTCAGACAGCTTGGGCCGCAGACTGTCCCTCAGGGCTTCCTCCTCCTTCCGCTTCAGGATCATCTCTCGCTTCCGCTGCACCTCCTCATCTGTCAGGATGACTGTGGGGTGAAAGCGGGGTGAGAGGGAGGCTTCCAGGAGGACTGGGCCTGCAGCTCCTCGGAGAAACCCTCCTCCAGCTGCTAAAGGCAAAAGATCGGAGGGGCGCATGGGGTTTGGGGGCTTCCCACCATGGGGGACTCCGGGCCCACTCCATGGACAGAAAACTGGGTTTCCTGTTGAAATGGCAGGTGCGTGAGATCGGAGGAAAACAGATCTTAGGGGTGGGAATGTTGGGCATTATTAGTGAGTCTGTGTTCTCAGGAGCAAGTCATCGGACTCTGGGCAAACTGAACTCTCTGGGCTTTGGTCATCTCATTAATCAAACAAGCAGTTTGCTCCATTACAACCTCTTCTACGGCCCTTTGTGGTTCCTTCCTCCAGAAAGCCCGTGTATGTGGGATGGCTGAGAGGTGACTGAGTGACAACCCCGACCTTGGAGGATGGACTGTTTTGAGAACTGAATGCACGTGTAACCCAGACCGGCTGCTCAGTAAATGTCAAGTCATGTCTCTTCTTCCCCACATTCATAGCCCATGATTCTGAGGGATGGGGTTGGGGTGGGAGGTGAAGAGGATGAGAGTCACTGTGTGGCCAGTCCCAGTGTCGGAAGCTAGGATATGCTGAGAGACCCCTCCATGGAGGCATTCCCACGCCCAAGTTTCCAGGCATGGAACTTGGGTGTCCAATCTACTCTGACCAACGTAGAAAGACTTTGCCTCTTTGGTTCCTGCAAAACAACCCCTCCTCCAGCCTGTCCAGTCTTGAAAGTTCTGCCTGGGGAAGTTTTTGAGCCCTCTAGAATTCCCAAAGAGAACACTGTGCAGCACCGTGTTCTCTCCCACTGCAAGCCAGCGTGTCTGACGAAAGGGAGACCCCATGCCCCCTGGGGTGGCACCCACCTCACCGGGCTGGGCAGCTGCCCGGGGGTGGTGGGGCTGTGAGCAGGGATGCCTGGCACAGGGGTGAGGCAAACAGACCTCCGGGCTGGGGCTTGCAGAGTGCTGACGGCAGGAGTGGGCACTGGGGCCCTCGGCCTGTAGCTACTTGCTGTCTGCTGGTGTTGCCAGTGCTTCTGCCCACAGAACTGGGGAGTTTCACAAGAGCAGGGAAAGCAACCAGAACCCCAGGATGGGTGGGTTCCGGGCTTCAAGAGCGGCCCACTGGCCCAGACCCCTCGGGCGGGGGCCGGGGGTGAGAAGGAAATAAGCTGGTGGGAGGGGAGGGAGAGCCTGTGGAGTGTGGGTGGGTGGAAGTGGGCAACCAGAGCCTCAGTGACAGCAGGAAGGGAAGCTTGTGGCAAAGAAAGGCGTGTTCCCTCCACAGCTAAGGAAGCCATACGAAGAGAAGGACTGGAGGAGGCCACGCCCAGGTGACTGACTCACCTGCCCGAAGAGCTGCCAACCCTCTCCCACGGTGGGTGTTTGCTCAGACCCCATGAGGTCAAGTGGGGTGGAAGAGGAAGGAGCAGGGAGCATTGCATTCAAGGCAGGGTATGAAGCCCTAGCCGGGGGAATCCAAGATTAGGTGTCTGGTCTTTCCTGCTCACCTGAGGGTGGATGCAGGGGGTGCTGGGGCTGGAGTGGAGGGGGTGGTTAAGGGGGGTGCTCCGCTAGTCATGCCACAGGCATCCTGGACATGCTTCTCGGCTTAACTGGGCTTTGATAATCTCTTGGGATTCTAAGATGTCACTCTCCTGCTCAGAAACTTTTTCTGGATCCTTCCTGCTCACCATGGTCCAAATTAAAGTCAAGATGCTCCATGATTTTACTTCTTCCTAACTTTCCAACCTCCTTTCCCCCTGCCTCTGGACGCAGCTTCTGCTCCGGTCACGTTGAGACTGCTGGCCTGCAGACAGGACCCGCTCAGTCTTGTCACTGCTTTTCCACTAATGCCGGCTGCCTGTCCAGCTGGGTCTTCTCTCCCCCATAGCTGCACAAGTCCTATCCGTTCTCCAGCACCCAGCCTTCAGCCCTATCTCACCATGAAGCCTTTCTGGATTGTCCCAATCTGCACTGAGCTTTCATTTCTTATTTCTGTGGTATGTCTACTGTTTCCCACACACATTGGCACCCAGCTGTCTTCTGCTCTGTAATAGTTATGGTTAGTACAGCCTCCAGTAAACGGCCGGATGGAGAGAACCTGAGATGTTCAAGATCTCCTTCACTAGCACGGTAGGCTTCCTGGGTTTCCCTCCTATGGAAGGGAGCCAGCGAGCCCAGCAAAGCCTCCTGGCCATGGTGTTTGCTCAGTAGTCTGAGAGATTGGACACCCAACACATCTACAATGATTGTACCTACTATGTGCTAGTCATTGTCCTTTGCTCAGGAAATGACAGTGAGAAGTACACTAACACTGTGTATGTGTCCTACCATGTCGGGATGGCACATGTCAAATGCCAGCCAGTCCACCAGATAATTGAGCCCGGCTCACCTTTTCAGTTTAATTATTGTGACTGAAATATTTTCAAGACAGCATACCTTGTAACAGAACACCTAAAGCATGCAACCTTTACTTATCATTTGGAACAATTACTGGACTGTGCAGGAGCGAGGTTATGACCTCAGGACTGAACAGGGCTGTGTCCTTGCACTGTGACTTGGCCTGCTATGATTCAGAGTTCTTGTGCTACGTCTCATCGCTTTCAATCTCCCCCTCTCTGGTAAGCTCCATGTTGTCTCTTCTTGGTTCCTGCCTGCCTCTGGGGGGATGCTTTTCTTCCTCTTAACTGTTAATTTATAGTCGTTGGGGAGCTGGAAATCATGATGATCAAGTTTTAGGTAAGAAAAAAGATGTGTTAATAAAAATGGATAAAAAATAAAGAATTTTTTAGGTACTGGGCACTACGTTAAATGCTTCTTAAATATCAACTCACAGATATTTAGTTCTCGTAACAACCTCTTCGGGCAAGAGCTAGTATTCCCATTTTGCAGATGAGAGACCCCCAGGCCCAGAGGCTAGGTACCTTGCTCAAAGTCACACAGCTAACACGTGGTGAAGTTGGTACTCAGGCCTTGGTAACACAGTTCTAGAGTTCATGGTTGTAACTACTGCCCCATAGCTCCTCTGATTGTAATTGGCTATGACTGCTCCATAGGATTCTTGTCCTTAGCCGTGGAACACATAAAATGTTCCAATCCATCTGAAGAGTATGAAAAAATAAATAAAGTAGCTAAGTTCGTAAATGATTTACTCTAAAAGGACAAAGTTAAGAAGATTCAAGGTTAACCTTATGACATTGTTCCTCCCAATCACTGTATCAAACGGTGACTGCCATCCGGTGTGCAGCACTAGAGAAAAAAGTGCTGAGATCTGGCATCTTCTACCAGGGCTACCAATCTGCACCCCCCACTCCCCCTCTCCAGGCAACAGTGTCTGGAGACAGGGTAAGTCATCAGGCTCTCACATGTGCAGATGCTGTTGTGATTTAGGAAGGAAGTCTTTATTTAAAGGGGGTTACTAATTTCATAGGAAATTTTTAAAAAATGATTTTCTCAATGAATCGCTACTGAAAATGCCATTACTATCATGTAGGAGGACACATGTTTTGGAGTTGAAAGCCATTGGCCTGGAAAAAGAGCAAACAGGTTCTGAAAGGGCATTTGATGGGCTCTCCAAGGAATAAGACACATGAGCGGTGTCCTTGGGACTTGGGAAACCCATATGGCAGCTTAGTAGCTTCTCTGTCTTCCTTTTAGGCTCCCTGCTGAGTGCTAACATGGCTTTGCATACGTTTATTCCCATGCAAGATGTTCTCTGCTTCATGAAGTCTATGGTTGCCTTAGGAGGTCAAGATCTGAAAGCATGAACAAAAAAAAAAAACACCTCAAGTTGCCCCTGGTGGCCTAAGGACAACAATAGAGAAGAGAATATAATGTCTTTCCCAATGAATGACACAGGCAATATCAGATTTGGAAGATCTTCCTGACCCATAGACCAGTGGGAGATGCAGAGGTACAAGGAAGCATAATGAGGAGCTACTACTCAGTCATTCAACATATATTTACTGAGCACCTATGCCATGCCAGGCATTACTAACACAGGATAGAAAATACACACATCTGTAAAAACATCAAACAAATTCACATGAAGGTGTTTTTGTGCAGGACAGGCCAACAAGAAGCAAGAATCCAAACACGAAAGTTCTTGGGCGCCAAGCACAAGGACAAGTCAACTAGGACTTGAAGAGAAAGAAAGGGGAACAGTCTCTTGAGCCCATCCCTAAGGGACCAGGCAGTGCCTGGAGGAACTCTGGCCCACTGAGGGTGCCTGGTGGGCTGCACCAGGGTGGGGTCCCCAGGCCTGGCATTTGGAAGCAAACAGACCTAGGTAAGAATGCCGCTACCATACCATCTTATTACTCGAAGGTACGAAATCAGAATTCCTCTGAGCTTCCCCAGCTACAAAACAACAACAACAACAACAACAAAAACTACAGAAGTATTCATGTATTTAGGGATTCTTGGGAGAATTTAATAAGAAAGCACCTGTGTTTGATGCAGGTAGGTGCTCCATAAACATTTGTTCCCACACCCATCCCTTTCCCCTTCCCGAGTTCCCTTTAGGGAAGGGCCCCCTCTCTGCTTCTGCCAGAATGGAGCCTATGCTTGCAGCGCCTTCAGAGGGAGCACTGGGCTGTCCTGTGGTTTTACAAATGTTGACACAAAATTATCTCTGGGAGGTTGAGCCTTAAGGCAGCCCAAGCCCACATGATAAACGAGTAGCTCTCCTCGGGATCTGAGCTGGGAGCTCCAGGCCCAGACCACTGTGACGGACTTCTCTCAGCTGGGCTGACTTGAGGCTGAGAACTACAGCCCTTCCTGAAGGACCTTTCCTTGGAGTAGTGGGGAGAACAAGCCTAGCGCTGGCTCAAGGTCTTCCTTCAACGGGAGCTCTGTGGCCCAGGCTCCAAGAGCTCAGCTCTTACAGCCCAGGGCTACCTCACTACAGCTCCCCGAGGGCATCCCGAGAGTGGGGAACAGGGGGCTGCACTGGGCATGCAGCAGGGTGGGGTGCAGTGCTCTGTGGGGGAGGACTGGGGCTGGGTTCGGGGTGGCCGAAGCACAAAGCTGTTAAGGTTTGGGGTGGGCACCCACTTCCGGATTGCTGGCCCCCATCACCACACGGTGTTCCTGGGGGCACCCTGATGCTCCCAAGACCTGTTCATCACCATGGATGCAGTGCTGTCTTTGGGGACCAGAGGAGATCTAGAAGCAAACATGGAGACTTGCTTTCTGACTCCAATCCTGTTATTTTTACCTTTCTGAGTCTCAGATGATTTCTAAGTGTTCTTCCTATTCGAAGCTGATCAGACATCTCCTTCTTCCCAAGACATAGGAGAAGAGTGTCGGGGGCATCAATGAGGCTGGTCCCGCCCAGAACCTCTGGGGTAGAGTCTGACTGAATCCCAGCAGTGGAACTGTGCTGTTCTTGGCTGGCAGAGCCTCAGAGCCAGACTCCCTGCCCCTCGGGGGTTATGTGCCCCTTGGGGGCAGGGGCAGGGGTTGTGCTCACTGCATCTTGTTTGTGTCCACACCAGTGCCTCGCACAGAGCAGGCCGCCCTAAGCTGGTGTGTGAGAAGCCCCATGAGGCACTCAGTCTTGGCCTCCTCTGTTCCAGGATAAACACAGGAGTCGGGCGGGGCAGGGGATGGTGCTAGGAGAGATCAGCATGTCCAGGCCTGCACACTCCTGTGGGGGCGAGGAGGAACAACAGCCTGGAAACTTCTTCAAGGCCTGCCAGGGATGACTGGGGAGCCGGGAGCAGGAATGAAGGACTGTGACCCACCAAGGGGGGAACCTGTCAAGACCCAAGCAGGAGGACCTCCATGAGGGTCTCCATTCTGTCTCTGTTCCCCAACAACAGAGAATTTTTTTTCCTATCAAGGAAGAAGTGTTCCACCCCCGAAGCCCTGTCCTGGGACTCTTCCCCATAACTGCGTCCCTCACCCCCTAAAACAATAGCCTCATAGCCAGAAGGGCCTCCAGGCATGCCTGCATCTGAGCACCCCTCCCGAGCCTCCTCAGGTCCGCAGCTTAACTTGTCCCAGGGCCGAGGAGGTGAGCAGCATGCGGACGGACGGCAGACAGGGGTGAGCAAGAGGCCGAGCAGGACAGAAGGTGCGGAGGACACCCATGCCCGGGCTGGCCCAGGACACTGGTCTACAGCCCAGGGAAGGCTGGTCTAGCCCCTCCCGGGGTCTGCTGAATTCAATGGCTATTCTGGCTACCAAGTAACCAGAGCTCAGATGCAAAGTCCAGGGGTTGTTTTTAACCCAAGGGTTAGAACAAGTCAGTCTGCCATTGGTCCTTTCTTCCAATCCTGGAGCTGGACAGGGAGTCCTGCAGACTCAGCCTTCTCTCTCCCTCTGGATGCAGAGGGCCATCCCAGAGTCCGCTGCTTCCCCTCACAGAGTCTCTCCCCCTGATCTCCCCAGATCTGCCCCTGGGGCCAGAGTGGCCCAAAGGCTGGGGCGGGGAGGGACCCGGATGCCAGCCAGGCTCTGAGTGCATCTTCTCCCCCAAACTCCTGCCCCTCCCCAACTTCAGCAGCCCACTCCCCCGAAGTCCAAACAACCATGGGTCCTTGAGCCTCATCTTTTCCCTGAAGGTCCAGGAATAGGGAGGTGAGAACAGTGATCTGTCTTGGAGGAGCACTGATCTAGGGGCTTATGAAGGCCGTGCCCTGCCTCTCCCTTCTCACAGGCACCCCCATGGGATGGGCCCTTCCCAGAACTCTGAGACACAGATCCAACCGAGGTTTGTAGGACCCCCCTGGGGCCTCTGGCCCTGTTGTTTTGGCCGCAGGGCCCAGCTCCAGGACCAGTGTGCCAACAGCCCCAGGGGAACAGTACGGACACCTCTCGGGCCAAACCTGCCTAAAGAGCAGCTCCCACCATCCCCTTCCAGTGCCACCCCTGCCTTGGCCCGGGATACTCACACTCCTTCGGGATACTCACACTCCTTCATCATGCCGATGTCCACGCAGCGCTTGAGCCGGCAGGCCTGGCAGTGGCGGCGGTTGTCCTTGGTGATGCGGCAGTCCCCGTTAAAGGGACAGGTGAACAGCGCCTTCCGCTTCATGCTCCGCCTGCCGGGGGAGAGAGCACGTGCCACCTCTGGGTCACACCCCTCCCAGCCCCTGCCCTGGCTGCCTGCAGGGGCTGTGACAACAGAGACTGCCCACAACGCCCCGCCCCCAATCTCCATGTCACCCACAAAGGATCTGGGGCCCAGTCCTGGCCACTCTCAGTGCCTACCCCTCCCCTCCCCAACACCTCGCCTCCTTCTTTCACTCCCTACTCTGCTCCCATCATCGCTTTGATTTACTTTATTTTTTTAATGTTTGAAACGATTTATTTATTATCACTTTCATTTTTTTTTTTTTAAAGTGAGCTCTACCCCCAATGTGGGGCTTGGATTCACGCCCCTGAGATCAAGAGTCGTCTGCTCTACCAACGGGCCAGGCCGGTCCCCCGATTTATTCTTATGGTCCTCTACTTCCCATTCTTTTTTTTTTTTTTTTAATTACACAAGAAATACATGAGTGAATTAGCCTAGCGACATTTTTGAACTACTAAAATCTGCAGAGTAGCCCTCACTGCTTGTAGTGAGCCATTATGGGAGGTGAGGACGCCGGGGATGGCTTTAAGTCATCCAGAGTTTGGAGATCTCAGACTAGAGCAGGCCTGGTTCAGAGACAGACATGTGTGCAGGTGCACAGAGAAGGAAGAAAGGGCCCAAACCATAGCTCAAGGTAGCCAGATCACACGCTCAGAGATAAAAGGCCCGATGAGTGTGAGGGAGCCCTGAGGTCTGGCCTGGACTTTCTGAAAGGCAGAGGGAGCAAGGGTTCTGCCAGGATAGAAACCTGCCAAAGGTTCTTAGCTCAGGAAGCCAGTACCCCTGGGGCCCCTGGCATTCTATGTAAAATTGTACGTGTAGTGGGGTGACACACGTGTGTGTCCATGCGTGTGTGTGCAAGCTTGAGGGTTCATTTTCCTAATTCTGGCTTTCTGCTGCCAGCCACACCACATGGCACTTTCAGGAGGCTACATCATCTATGTCCTTGGGGTTCCTCATACTGTTCCCAGCCCCAGTAGGGGCAGGCCCGTTTTGTTTTGTTTTGTTTGTTTATTTGTTTGGGTTTTTGCCCTGGGACAGGTGACAGGATTTAGCTAGAGAAAGATGGTGGCAGAATCACTTTCTCTGGGACCAGCAGCATCTTCCAAGGAGAAGCTCAAACCTTATGAACAAAGGCCAGGCTCCAACCATTTCCCTCTCTCATAAATGAGCTGGTCACATACTAGCTATGCTTCTTGGTAAAAAAAAAAATGACTCACTATTCACATTCACTAGAAGATAAATGGGGTTTAGGACAAACATTCTCATCAGTCAACATGGACAGAGGGGACCCATGGGATAGAGGAGAAGAGAACACAGAAATGGCCTGCCAGTAGTCACAGGTAACCAGACTCCAAGATTAGAAGATCCAAGAGACTCTTAGTGTACCTCCTCTTTTTATAGGTGAAAGCACTGAGGGGAAGAAACTTATCAGTGAGGGGAGTCAGCAAGAAGTGAAGGCTCCCCAGTTGGCTGTTAGAGACGCTTATCAGTGAGGGGAGTCAGCAAGAAGTGAAGGCTCCCGAGTTGGCTGTTAGAGACGTGAGACTCGGCTTTTGGCTCCTGGGATTGAACACACAGCTCTCATTCCTAGAAACTTAAGGTGCTCAATGAAGTGGAGCCTACAGGCAAACAGCTCTAGGCAGCTGGCCCTTGAGAACAACTCAAGACCAAGGATGACCCAGTGGCCTACAAGGTAGTTGGCTTTGGCCCCCAGTTGGCCCTTTCGTGACCCAAGAGGGACCCCAGTAGACCAGGCTGCAAGGGGAGGTGGAACCACACGAGGCTATGGGGGTCAACTCCAGTCCACCAATGGCCATACCCACTCTGTGGTGACTACCCAGGGAGAGATCACATACCAGGCTTTTGCCTACCTTTATGGAAACAGAAAGCCTTTCTCCTTGAGTTTCCATCCATCTCTGGTAGCTCTCCAGAGAGACAGGCAAATGTGGAAGCACCTTAGCTACCTGAAATGAGCTACTACATCACCAGGGGACATGAGATTCATTCACCCCTTTACTCCTTCTCCTCCTTCCCACTCATGGTTCCCGAGGCTCCGCCTGTTACCACAAATGTTCAGGCCCCAGGATGCCCGTAATTCTCTAAACTTACTTAAGGGTTAGAAGTTTCTAATTCAGAGTGAACTCTCATTTCCTTTTTTTTTTTTTTTTTTTTTTACAACCAGGCACTTTGCCCAGGAGCTGAGGGTCTGCTCTCTCCTCCCACCCACTGTCTTGTCTGGCTCACAGCTCTTCCTGTTAATTCTCTAGGGCTTGGAGCACCACAAGAAACATATCATAACATGTGGCACCTCCAAACACGTGAGCCAAAGCCCTTCCCCAGCCCTGTGCTGGGGGCTGAGAGCTTCTGAGCCCTCCAGGTGGGAGGCAGCCCCATGCCCCCCAGGGACCTATCTCTCCTTCCTTGGGCTCTAGGGCACCTGCCTCTGACTCTCACTGGGGGTACATCCCCCAGCTGAAAGGAGGCTCAGGAGGTTGTGGCACTATCATTTTTCTTTGATCTTCCTCACTGTAAATCTGAAACCCACCCCAGGCTTCCACACACAGGAGTGCTGGAGATAGCCACGCAGCCCAGCTCTGCCGGACAGCAGGAGTGGATTCTGACGAGGTTGCATAGGAATCCAAAAATATGCAGAGCTGGCTTCAAAGAAAATACTGGGGGGGCAAACCCCAATGTCCTTGCTCCCAGCTTTGTAGTTAGAGTAGAAAGCTCATGAATACTGAGAAGCAAAGTGGGAGGAGGAGGACTGGGAGGAAAAGGAAGGAAGGGAGGGAGGGAAGGAGGGAGGGAAGGAAGAAAGAAAATGTTAAAAGTCCTTCCAGCCAAGGCACATTATCCCACCGCAAGGCTCACACCTGTGCTTTTCACCCTTTGCCATACTTTATCCCAAAGAACACCAACTTTGTCCCATGTCTTCACAGTATTTGAGTGATATAGAAAATAGCTTATAAATTTATAGAGTTCTTGAACTATTATTATGAAAAATTATACTAAGCAGCTCTTCCCTGCCTCCTCTGAATACCGAATCAGAGACCAGACCCTAGAATTGTAGCCAGGAAGATGGAGGGTAGCCATCACAAAGAACTGTCACACTCTGGAGTGTCGATCAGTGTTCAGGGAGGGAAAGCTCCCTCTCCAGCTCCAACAGGGAGACTGAGGTCATCCCTACCCCCAAACCGGCTTTCAGGTGTGTCCAGCCCAGCATAGTTGCCAGGGCTGTGGGTCTCTCAGGCTCTGGGGCCCAGTTCTTCCCAACTCTCCTGCCTGCTAAGGGCATTTCCGCACATGTGGCTGACATCTGGTCTCTGCTTGCAAGGAGTCGGTCAGCCAGACCAGTCAGCCCTGGCTCTGTGCTTTGTCCCGAAGATCCACGCCCTGTCCTGCCTTCCTCCCCATGCTAATTGCTTGTGAGCTTCTTTGGTTTTGAGAAACAAGAGCTTCGAGTTTCCATGGGAGCCCATTGCCTTAGCTGCTCTCTGAGCCTGGACCCTGTCATCCTCTGGGTGGTTGGCAATTATACCCCAGCTCAGGAAGGAGGGGTTGGGGTGGTGCCACCGGGCTAAATATAGACACAGTTTCTAGAAAGTCAGGGGTGAGAGAGGACATTGACCAGTTCATCAAAACATGACAGACAAGCTGTTCACAGAAGCACGAAGTGCCTGGGGCCAGGGACTCAAGCCTGGGACCATAGGGTCCTTCTCGGGTCGGTGGCCCCATCACCAGAGACCCACCCTAAAAAACCCCAGACTGGGGCCAAGTGACGGCTCTGGCTTTGTCTCCACTGCAATCCTGAGTATCACAGAAATCTCAGAGCCTGGACTGGATCCAGGAGCCTGGTGGAGCTCCCGATGGGAAAGACCAACAAGGTCGGGACCCATAGGGCACCTTTGTATGTGGCAGCATCAAGGGCTTCTCGGGAGAGTTTAAAAAAGCCAACTCTACAGAAAGCTAGGTTAACACCGTGGCAAAGAGCATGAGCCCCCTTTCTGGACAGCAATTGGGTCATATTCACCGACATGTAAAAGGCACAGAGCTTTTAATGCAGTGAACCTACTTCTAGGCGTTCATCCTGTGAGTCAATCAGCCCATGGGCCCAAAGACATGTGCGTAAAGGTGGTCGCGGCAGCACTGTATGGAGAACTGGTCCCTTACAGTACAGTAACTCCATATGAAATGATGGGGCAGTGGGAAGGGTGGAGGAAGAATGTGGCCGTGGGGACTAGCTTGAGGAGGTGTTCTGGAGTAGATCAAAGCAAGAGGCAGAAGGGTGAGGATAGTATACTCCTACCTTCCTGTGCACGCGTGTGTGTGCGTGCACACACACCCATGCTCTGATATCAAGAATTTGGAAGCGAACGCAATGAGTTGGTCATGGTGACAGTTTCCAGAGGAGGTAGGGACGTGAGAGTTGAGTAGAGAAGACCTACTTTTTACTGAGATGTCCTTTTGAACTATTGGCTGCTGCTACTTTTTTTTTTTTTTTTTACCCATATACAGGGATGATTTACACACACATTCCAGGTTCCATGACAGAGGAGAGAAAAGGCTGTCTGTTCTCAGATACAAACAGCGCAGAAGGACGAGGATAACGACGAGCACTCGCTGAGGGCCTTCTCTGCTCGGACTCCGTGTGTTACCGCCAACGTTCTCACCAGCCTTGCAGGATGGACTCTGTCCCTATGCTACAGGTGGGAGGAGAAGGCAGTGGGAAGTTAGACCTCCCACTTCATGTCCCACAGCTAATAAGTGTGAAACCGGGATCAGAATCGAGATCTGTTGGATTCCAAGGCTTCCCTAATACGCCCCCTAATTCCCTAATTTTTCCCTACTATGGTCCTCATCATGAATGTACCCTATTTCAATGCAAGCCAGAGCAGCAGTCCAAATATACCCCTAAAGTCCAGGGGCACCTGGGGGGCTCAGCCAGTTAAGCATCTGCCTTCAGCT